GAATTCCAAACATTTTACTGGACCGCTTATTTACAAATTTTGTAAAGCAAAAAATTTCGTTGAAAAAATTGTTTTTAAAATAACAAATATCAGTGGACAAATCGCTTTTACCTATTTTCAGTAAAGTAGTGGATGGTTTGTTATTTCTGAGCTTTTATTTTCTTTTAAATCGATAAAAAATGGTTGATTATATATTGCGGAGAGAGTGGAAATTAAAATCCAATATCGCTCTTACAATCGGTACAATAAACAATTATTTTAAGAAATACTAATGGAAAAAAGTGGGAAAATAATAGGACAGATACAAATTTTTTAATGGAGTGTTTCTGGAACAATTTAAAAAATACTATAGATATCATGTGTCCAATAAAAAACAAAACAATAAATAGTAAGCACAAACATAATAAATGGATTAATGGAAGGGTAACTAAACTAATAAAAGAAAAAGACCAAATGTATAAAAGGGCTGTAATAACTGATAAGGAGGAGGACTGGAATGAATATAAAAAGATTAGAAATTATGTGACAAGTACGATTAGAACAAATAAGGAGGAATATTTTAACTCAGTATTAGATGAAAATAAAAACAATAGCAGAGAGTTATGGAAAAATTTAAAACAATTAATAAACAATAAAAATAATGCACCATCAAGTATTGAGTTTGACAAAATAGAAATAAATGACCCAATTATAATTGCAGATAAATTTAATAAATACTTTATACAGAGTATCGATGATATTGTGAAAAATATACCTAAAAGTAATAATGATAATGTTTTGCCTAAAATTCAATTTTGTGAACGTTTTAATAAGTTTGAACCAATTTTTATGTCAGATTTAAATAAAATAATAAATAACCTTAAAAAAACTGCAGATGTAGATGGAATAACCACCCTCTTTTTAAAAGATGCATATGAAGTGATAGGTAATCAATTCCTTGATATTGTTAACAACTCATTGTTGTATGGTGAATTCCCAAATTGTATGAAGAACTCAACAATTATCCCTATTCAAAAAATCACAAATTCCACCAAATGTGAAGATTTTAGACCCATAAATACTGTGTGTTCATTTGAGAAAATTTTAGAATTATGTGTTAAAAATCAATTAGCTGAATATTGTGATAGAAATTCTGTGATAAACATGTGTCAATCAGGTTTTAGGAATAAGCATTCGTGTGAAACTGTCATTTTAAATATTTGTAATAAATGGGTTAATGTATTGGACAAGGGAGAAGTGGTTATTGCTATATTCTTGGATTTTCGTCGTGCATTTGAAACAATTAATAGAGAACTTTTATTAAAAAAACTAGAAAAAATTGGAATAGCAGGTAATGCACTTAAATGGTTTAGTTCATATCTCACTAATAGAACTCAAAATGTAAAGTTTAATAAACATGTATCTAACAAAATGTATGTAAAAAATGGAGTACCTCAAGGTACAGTTTTGGGTCCATTGTTATTCATAATATATGTTAATGATATGATTAATCATGTTAATAAGTGCAATGTTTCAATGTTTGCTGATGATACTATGTTATATGTCTGTGGAAATAATATTGATGAAATGGTAAATATGTTAAATGATGATTTATGTTCTCTTAATAACTGGTTGTGTGATAATGATCTGTGTCTTAATATAAATAAATGTAAATACATATATGGTAATTGGTTCAAATTTTAAAATTTCTAATATAAATATAGATATAAAAATCAATAATATTAGCCTGGATAGGGTTAACACGTTGACTGCGTCGTCGGAGAGATGAAATACTTAGGTGTTATTTTGGATCAGTGTTTAAATTTCTCTAGTCACTGCAATTATGTTATGTCTAAAATGTCCAAAAAAGTGTACTTTTTAAATAGGATAGGGAAACAATTAAGTTTATATGTTAATATTTTATTGTATAAGTCATTATTTTTACCTCACCTTGAATTTTGTTCAACTGTCCTTTTTAATTTAAATCAAAATGAAGTTTCAAAGCTTCAAGTAATACAAAATAGAGCTTTACGTACTGTATTAAGATGTAGTAAATATACACCAATTAAATTAATGTTAGAAGTATTGGGTTTTATGAGTGTTAAGCAACGAATTACTTTTAAAGCTTTAGATATAATTTTTAAAATAAAGAATAAAATGGTACCTGAATATTTGTATAGTGATATATGTTATTTAAATCAGGTGCATACATATGAAACCAGACAAAATAAAGATTTTTATATTAGAATTTGTAAAAAAAGTAGGACGCAAAAGAGTATTTTTTCTAATGGTTTGAAATTATTTAACGACTTGCCGCAAAGTATTAAATTTTGTGATAATTATAATAGTTTTAAAAAAATGTTAAGAGATTACCTATGTTAAAGATTTGTATGTAACAAAAATTGTAAATAACCAAATTGTTTGTTAAAAATAGCTTTGGCTAAATAAACTTTATTTATTTATTTATTTATTTATTTATTTATTTTATATACAACCAATGTGCAAGAGTAGCAGCAACTTTGTTTAATGAGAGGCATGCAAATAGATACGTACATCATGGTTACATCCTAAAATTAGTAGCAAAATTCCGGCAAACTGATTTAGTGGCAAATAAAAAACGAGGTATTGAAAATCCGGTAAGAAATGAGGCAATAGAAGTTCTGGGCGAAATTACTTTGGAACCACAGTACACAGTTCTGTGTTTGGAACCTACTTTAAGTACCAGACACATTTCTGATGTAACGGGAGTTTCGCGTGCCACCGTACAGAGAATTCTGAAACATAATAAATGGCACCCATACAACACTCCTTTAATAAATACAAGATTAAATAATTATAAATACTTTCAACAACCATAAATATGGCTAACTTTCAAACTTAAGCTTAAAAATTTTGTTGTTTTAACAATCATACACATTAAATATTGTATACCAAAATTTGACTCTTAAGTTGCTCTTTCATAATAACTATGTTATAATATTACGTAGGGCTGAGTTTCAAAAATAAAAATTAAAAAATGGATGTGCAAAGTTACCCCCTGGTTGCGGGTAACTTTGTCTCGCAGTGTATTTTCCGTATAAAATTAACTCAATATTTTATTTTATTTTTATCAGACACGTTAGCAGCGACATATAGCGATTGCACGCCATTACCGATAAAAAAATAAAAAATCGACCTGTACTTAACCAAGGATCATCATTCCAAAGGATTGCGCCTAATATAGAAATTGTAACGCGTGTATTTCTAAGAGTTCTGCACTGATGCAATATAAAAAAATTTAAAGTGTAATAAATCCCATTTATTTCTTTAAAACACTTATTTTCCTGTAATATAAACCCAATAGAATCGCTCAATTTGACAGGTTTAGACCAACAAATTATAAATGTTAATTTTATCGAGCGCGAAAAACTTTCATAAAAAGGTTTAAGTCACCCGCGGGGTGCCAAGCCACCCGTGTTTACGGTACCTTTTTAATGTTTGCTTCTCAGACAAATGTTTTTCTCAATGTCATTTTCTATCGTAATAATTGTCGTAATTGGTCCAACACGAATTCAAGGATCTTTCATGACGTTCATACTCAACATCCTTAGAAATTAATCGTTTGGGCTGTATTTTTGGTGTCCACATAATTGGATCATCTTTCTAAACGGGAAATTTAAATGGAACTCCTTACTTAGACTTGTTGGAGAATCCCCTCAACACAGCGTTGATCGATTATTTTATGGAAAATGACCAACGTAACCATGAAGAAAATCCAACATTTCAGCAAGATGCATTACCTGAACGGCAGTTTCTGGATGAAACGTTTTCTGGTAGATGGTGCCATCAAATGGCCCGCGTGATTATTGGATTTTTCTCCCCTGGATTTCTTTTTGTAGGGACATCTGAAATCCAAAATTTATACTACCCATCCTGAATCGTTAAAAGATTTACGGAACCGCATCACTAAGTGCGACTGCTGCAACGATTGAAGAGCTAATAATCTTGTTTGGTGGTTCTTTAAAATCAATGTTTGATTTTTTTAAATATTAGAAGTATCCAGTGGCGGTTTTAAGTAAAAAGGCCCAGTGGGAAAAAGCTTCCTAGGGACCCTTACACTATATTAGTTTTACTTAAAACCGCCACTGGATACTTACATTTAAAAAAAATCAAACATTGATTTTTAAGAACCACCAGTCATTTTTGACCTCTGCTGACTCACGATACAATAATTTTTAAAAATGTATTACTTTTTAAATAACCAGGCACAGAAAAAATCGGACAAAAAGTCAAATAATTTTTTAATTATTACATACATTTTAATGATTTTTTATTTCGTTAAATATTGTTATAATTATAATCTAAGCTTCATAGGAGTTTTTGGATGAAAATAAGTGATATCATTGACATTGCTATTTTTATAGGAAAGTTTACCCTCAAAGTCATTAACATAGATTTAAATTGATATATTTTAGTTAACAAATTAAGTTAAAATTTCAGTTCGCTATTTTTTTGGGGAAATATTAATTTCAATTTTATTTTATATAAAAATATTTTGTAATATATAAAATAAGATTGAAATATAGTTTAACACACAATCCACACATGTGTGTTTGTGGATTGCGGTTTATCACACGCAATATCCCCCTTAGAGTACCGTGAGCTACAATATAAATTACTTGTTTTAAGCCAATTTTAACTTACGCTATCAATACATTTAAAAGAAAATGTTATAATACGTTTTAGAGAGAAGAAGTATATTTACTTTATAAAAATTTGTTTTTTTATTTGTGTAGCTGCGTTATACCACAGTATAAGCCAATTTGTAAAGGAGTGCCTATCAAAGTGGAATTAAAGTAACGATTTCAAAACCATCTTACTCGCGAAGAAAAAGCGTTTACGTTTTTTTCGACCCTCCAACTTTTACTCGAAATAAAGTAAACACTAATCTCGTTCGTAAATGTAGAATTGTGTATAATTTTAATATCGTTTCGGCATCATTTATTTGCCAATTATTGATTTAAAATAAATATATACCGAATTTATCAAACATACAATTTATTCAAGCAAATATAACTTATTTCTAGACAATTTGAAAAGTAACAATGGTAATAACTTAAAATATATTTAAAGCTTACATCACAATACATAAAACTTATATATAAGATTATATCGTAAGAAATTCTTTAGTCAGTCTATTATACTCTCTGCAAATTACCTTCTCCAGTGGTATTAAATAGACCACCAACTCCGCCAATTGTATTTTATATAATATTGGAAGAGATATTTGACTCCATTCAAACCGGTTTATTTCCCCTTCCGGTCGCACCACAGCAGGAACCAGGTTTAAATATGTCTCCAGGCATTTCTCAAGGGTCCTCCATCCACTCTCTTCATTTTTAAGATGAAAGATACATAAATCAAAGATATTTATATCAAAAACATTGCACATTTGAAAGTTATAATTGTAAATCAAAAAGTCATCGAAAAAAGCTCCATTGTAAATAATCTTTTTATGGAATGGACTTTCTAACATTTGACGTAATTCTTTTGGAAACTCAGTTTTTTTCTTGTTCCTAAAGTCGAATATGTAGACTTGTGAAAATGAGCAGACAACCAAAAACTTTAAAGCTCTATTGACTCTTTGATCCTCTAAACCCACCGGAGCAATTGCTAAGTGCTGCGTATTTTTAAACTCGTTCATAGCCTTAAAGTATCTTGCATCTGGACGGTCAATATATATTGCATTAGTCTTAAGCATTTGTATTTTACTGTAATCTTCATAGCTTAAAACAACTGTGTCCTTAAAGTTAGGTTCTAGTGAAGATATATCCAAGTTGTTTATGTGGTCAATAAGTTTATTAAAAAAATCACAGTCTCTAAGATAAATTCTTTTAATGTTCGTTATTTCGTCTTTAAAAAATGAGTACATGCCATTTAGGTTTGTATTTTGACTATACTTTACTACTTGGTATAAATCAATCCTTTGATCTGTTACACTGTATAAATTTCCCTCAAAAACATCACTCTCGTTGACTTCCAATAGTAACCTATCCCCAGTGTTGTATAATTTTTCCATTTTTATTAATCTGTAACAAAAAAAATCCGGTTATATTTTCATTAATAAAGAAGGGTAAATTTTATTGACTAATATATTTCAATTTAACAATATTTATAATACTCGCAAACGCGTTAAATAAAACATTCGTTAATTTAACTCAATACAGGCAAACAATTTTATATATGTTGATTGTGTTCATATTTGTCTATTAACTATTTAAAAAATTGTTTGCACTTGACTAAGTGAGCTTTAGACATTAATATTGATTGCCCTTAACTGTATAACAGTATTTTATCAATGCACAGTGGGATAAGAAAATTTCAAAAGCTGTCAACAACAATTTAATTAACAGATTTATAATTGGTATAAAAAAAATTGTCTTATTTAATATAAGAATTAAAAAAAAAAAAATTCTATGCAAATATTTATATCTTCATAGAAGCAAACTAGAAAGAATAATGAATCTATTAAATTTTTAAATTAATTTTTATTATTAATTTCAATTTTTTTGACAAACCGTTAACTATAATTAGATTTTTACAATAAACATAAAAACTAGTATTTAAAAGGCTTTTGACAAAAAAAAGATGCGCATTATTGATTTTGGTATTTTTCTTTTCATGAAAACAATAGTGTCATTAACCATTAAAGTAACCATTAAGAGCACTAATTATATAGAAAGTGTAATATAAAGTGAGCAGTTATGGTTTATATTAAAAGCTATAATTAACTAACTATATTGCGTGTGGTTAATGTCTGTCGTTGGTTGGACACGCCCTGGGCGAAATTTATGACCAAAAAATCGTATTCTTTAAATTTCGTAAAACAATATTAGTGTTTATTTAACAACAAGTGGATATGAACACAACGTCTAAGGTTTATTAATTGTTTTTTAAATTTAAATATTTTAAAGGAACAGAGCAGTCGAAGTCGATAGGAACGCACCAAGTTTTAGGAGTGCATTTAAAGAGTTTCAGGGCTTCCCGCAGTTGACCTCCAAGACATCCAGATATAACGCAATTGAACTAATTTATTACCGAAAGGAATAAATAAAGAATTAAGGGGAAGCAATGGGCGCCTACAGTTTTGAAAAAGCGCTATCACAATAAAAATCGGATTCCCCCTTTGAGTTTTTTAAATTATTTTAAGTGTAGAATACACTTGTGGGTTCCTTCCTACTTACCCTGTATATTAGAAAATCGATACCTGTTGGATGTACTAAACTGAAACAATCTACTCGCATGTTTATTTTACACATAAAATCTATAATATAGTCATATCTTTGAAACTTATATGTCACGAAAGAATTTGCAAAAAAGTAGGTAAATTTATTGCAAAAATTAAAATATTTACCTCATTATATATATATATATATATATATTTATATTTTAATAAACTAAAACCGACATAACACGAAACAACGGCTTTATAAATATTCATAGTTTTTAATTATTAAAATTAAGCCATCCAAGTGTTAAAGGTAAAAATTAACATATTAAATCCAATTTTACCGTCCTCGGTGGTGTAGTAATTAGCGCTCCTGACTATTTACAGACCCTTCTTTTGTATGGTATATTAATTGTTAAACATATTGATTTTGCTCCTGACTATTAGCCGAAAGGTCGTGGGTTTAAATTCCACGTGGGTATGTACTATAGTGATGTAAAAATTATTTACAAGCTAGTGCCTGACTAGATGGACTAAAAGTCCAAAGCCAAAAAAAAATACAATTTTAATTTAAAATATTACCATCATAATAATACAACTTATAAGTATATGTGTATACACATGGATTACACGAAAATAGTAAAGCTACAAATCCAGTAGACCGATTTTATTCCTTCGGTACTAGCAGCGTCGATTTTCTTGTCAGTCTAAACGTTTAAAATGTGGTTTGATCAATTTCGTGATGGCTAAAAAAATCAAATTTCAAGTAAACACGTTTTTTGCGTTTCGTTGAAATATATAAACTGGAGTATCGTGTCGTCATAAAAATTTTCCTTTTGGACTATTTTTCACCAACGGAAATTCAAATTGCAAGGTTAGTAATAAGTCTTCTCTTTCATTTTCAACAGTCAAAAAATAGGGCACTGAATTTAAACGTAGTCGTACATCTCTTGAAAATAATCAGCTTGAAGGACGACCAAAAATGCGACCACAGAAGAAAACATCGAAAATGTCCACACTATGGTATTGGACGATCGGCGATTAGGTGTATGAGATAGCTGGGGCCATAGGCATTTTAGAAGGTACGGTACATTTTATATCACGAATTAAGCATAAAAAAACTTTGTGAAAATGTAAGTATCGTTTTAAAAAGAATACAACCGATTTTATGTTTCGATTTGTTACTATGGATGAGACGTGGTTCCACCACTACACGCCAGAAACCAAACAGCAATCGAAGCAATGGGTGGAAGGGGGTGGCTCTGCACCAAAAAAGGCGAATTCGATTTTGTCTGCCGGAAATGTCATGACCAGTGTTTTTTGGGATGCAAAAAAGATTATTTTATATGATAACCCTGAAAAAGGACAAACAATAAATCGCGAATACTACACAAGTCTCCTGGACCAACTAGATAAAAAAATTCGTGAAAAGACGCCTGGATTGCATAAGTGCACAAGAAAAAAAATCATGAATACCAGGACAATGCACCTGTTCACAAAGGTATCTAAAAAAAATTTTGTTGGAAAACGTTTTGGGTCAAATGAAGAGGTGATGGAAGCCGTAGATGATTATTTTGCAGACCTTCCATAATCCCACTTCCGGAATGAAATCCACTTATTGGAAAAACATTGGACAAAGTGCATTGAACTAAAACGACTATGTAGAAAAATAAATGCACATCTCGAGCCGTCAGACGAGAGACGTAAATCATCCGCGTAAATAATACTCAAATTAAGTAATTTTCATTGAAATCAAAATTTATTATAACCTCACTTTTCCCGATTTTAAAGATTATTATAGTCGACCCTCGTATATATAAACAAATCTGACATCTGTTAACCTTTTTCCCAATTTAAAACCCGATTGGTTCAAATAACAGTGAATATTGAAATCAGCCAATCACTGATGCCTAACAACATTTACAAAAAAAAATAATGTCAATTATATGCAATAGAAATAGAAAAAGTATATTTCTATGGAAATATTAAAAAACTATTTTTTTACACTTTTTAAAATTGGCATTTCAAATTTTGTCCTTGCAACTCAAAAATATGTCAGTTTTAAACCTTAATTTTGACATTATAACAACAAATTAAGAATTTATATTGTTACCATATTTACTTTTTATGTTGTTTTTAGATTTTAATATTACTAAATTTTTTGTTGTTATAAAGTATTAATCTGCTAATTAAAATATAACGTTTTATTTGTACTATATTGTCACCGCTGAATTTGCTATCACGACCTATAGAAATATTGATTTTATGTATTTTTATTGTATTTTTTTTACCAATTTAGGTATATGGGGGCGGCTCTAATTGTAATTTTGTATAGGTAAATACAGAAATAGATTAAGTCGCCAAGTGGCACGTTTATTATACCTTTACTATTTTACTTATTTTAAATCCAAAATCTTAAAATCTAAGTTTTAAATTAAAAGGTTTATTGTTTAATTATAATTATAATTATTTAATAAATATACGTTTGTTTAACTTTAAGATCCTGCATGCAGTTATAACATTTTTAAATTTATTTTATTTATAGCATAAACTAAATTAATAAATTAAATGATTAAAAAAATCAGTCATTTTGGCACCCTCTTTACAAGTTTTATAATTTTTATATATTTTATATTTTTTATTTTTGATACTACTTACAAACACAATACAAATTGTAATTAAAATTAAGAGATAAATACATGAATATAATTAGAATCTTAATACAAAAACAGTAACAAAACAAAAACAGATGTAAAAGTAGCCTAAACTAAGAATAAAAGACTAGAATGAGAGAAAGTGTGATCTAATTTCTTTGGTATTATTTCCCATAAATAGGTCAATGTTGGATACCAATAATAAGTTGCATTGCTCCAGCATATTTCTAAATGGGGAGCAGTCTGTTAGATCAAAATAAAACATATTAGTTCCCTGCATGCGAAAATGTATCTTTGGAACCAATAGCTTAACAAAATTCATCAATTGAAGATTTTTATACTTTAGTTGTTGATAATAAAATATACAAGAAGTACAGCCTGCAATGACCGCCTTCTTTCGAGTGTGACAAAATTGAACTCCTCAAGAATGCTTCTGTACACTGAAATAAATATATGTTTGTTATAGCAATGTATGTGGTAGTCCATATATGAAACATAAAATATATTTGCCTTAACCATATTATGTTAAAACTAAATATAAAAATGGTTAAGGTAAATATATTTTATGTTTCATATATGGACTACTACATACATTGCTATAACAAACATATATTTATTTCAGTGTAGGAGATCATATATGGATAGAGGTTAAGCACCCTGACATAGAGAAACCGAAGAAATCTTTTTTAAACCCTCTCTATAAGATCTATGTTGAATTCTGCCCGAGGTGACCATACAACAGAAGGATACTCAAGATGAGGCATCACAAGAGCATTAAACAATTTTGTTATACATTTAGTTTTTGTTTACAATATGTTCATAGTGAGTATTGAACTTAAAGTTGCTTTGGAAATAGACACTTAGGTCCTTGCATTGAGACTTCCGAACAAGGTGCTCGCTATTAACACTGTAGGATGCTCTTTTTGTTTTTCTTAAACCAATCAACTACTGTATCCAAGTCAGATTGTAGTTCTTTACAATCTTCCTCGCAATCTTCCAAACAGGAAATAGGCTTAAACATCTTGAAATCATCAGCAAACATAAGGCAGGATGAGTGTGTGATACTCTTTGGTAGGTCATTAATGAAGATTGTAAAAAGGAGTGGTCCCAAGCCTTAAAGAAATAATAATATTAACTGTTACAAGGTAATAGTTACCCTTTAGTGGATTCGTATTCTGCCAAACCTATATGAACTAACTGTTATAAT